TTCCTTGAAACTCTGAGAGCAGCAAGCTCTGGGCACTCAGAGCCCAGCTACAGATCCAAATATTCAGGACAAGACAGGTATGTTTCAGTCCTTAACACTTCCAGTTTCTTCTTGCTCTAAGACTTTAGCCAAAAGCTACAAAACAAAGGGGTACACAGCCAGTCAGGCAATGTTTTGAAGAACTCCATGGAGATTCACAATCTGCCTCCTCAGATTATTGCTCTTGGGAATTAGACCAGCAGCAGCAACCTCACAACAGCTCCTAGTACTCAAGATGACAGGATTGCTAGCCTGAAACAAGTCCAGGAGTTGTGTTGACTAGAAGTTTAGAGGGAGCTTAAAAATACATTGTCTCACCTATGTTAATGTTGTATGTTAATACTATTTTCAAATGCCACTCAGCATGTAGCATTAAAGATGGCAGAGTAGCAAAATTTAAACAAATCTTGGACTTGTTTAGAGGATCAAGCTTCTAAGAGAAAAAGGAGGTGTCAGTTCTTAAATCAAGAGAATATTTATTTAATGTGTGAATTACATTTTGCAGCCTCACAGATTTCAGAGCTGGAAGCATTTCTGATGCTTACAAGTAACCACAAGCTTCATGAAATGAGCCTTCAGAGCTCTGTATAATGATCATACAAGGACTGAATACAAAATTTGACCAGGGTATTCCTTATACTACTGACATCCTTCTGACATTTATTAACTATATCTTAGCTCATAGCATGCCACAGAAAATACTTAATGAAAAGTGTATCACTCATGAAGACACACTTAGGTGTACACCACACCACTTGTTACCTCCTATTCTCCCAATTCAGAGCTGGAAGCATTTCTGATGCTTACAAGTAACCACAAGCTTCATGAAATGAGCCTTCAGAGCTCTGTATAATGATCATACAAGGACTGAATACAAAATTTGACCAGGGTATTCCTTATACTACTGACATCCTTCTGACATTTATTAACTATATCTTAGCTCATAGCATGCCACAGAAAATACTTAATGAAAAGTGTGGTGTGCACCTAAGTGTGTCTTCAGGAGTGATACACCACTTGTTACCTCCTCTTCTCCCAAGTTCTGAGGCAACTTTTGTTATGCTGTCAATCTACAAATATTTTCAATATAAACCAGTGCTTATAGTCTCAAAATCTCACTGTGCTGATCTGCAAACCAGCTCTCCTCTCTCACACACTGCTCAGAAAGTGGATGGCTTGGCTGTCTGTCACTGATTAGATTCAGAAGCTGCTAAACTGAGGCCTTATTTCCTATAACCCAGCTCTCTCAAGAAGCATAGCCAACACATCAGACATTACCTCTTCCCCAACAAGAGATCCTTGTCTTCTACTGAATGTCTCAGGATTCAAGAAGTAGACAAATGTGACAGGGAAATTCCAGAAAGCTACATCCTGCCTTCAAGGATGCTTCCTCTACACTCTTTAACTGGGTGAGGGGCTCATGGCAGACAGAGGAGGAACTGTAACAGGCCTGCTACTAAAAGAAGGAGCTCTGAGGAACTGCTCAGAATCATCTCAGATTTCCTCTAACAAAATCTCCCTAAAGAACTGCTGTGAGATTGAAGGGAGAAGCCAAAGGCATCACACTTGGAAAGAGCTTCCTCCTGAACTTACCCGAAGGACTTGTCCTTCTTGGAGACAGAAAACTGGCCTCTAAACATGAATGTGGAATCATGAACAGAGGAGGAACTGCCAATTCACCAAAAAAAGGTCTTAAAGATGTGCTTGCCCTCCTGTGATGGGTGAAAAGTAGAAAACCCAACATGTGCTAGCCACATGGAGTAGCAAGGACCCCAGGGGAGAGACTACAGTTCAGCAAATGGCCTTAAATCCAAATATTTGTCCTGGATGTCCTCTCTCTGTCCTAATGGTTCATGGCAGCAACTGCAAAATTAACTCCAGCATCATGAGTGTTTATTTGCAGAATTCATTGGATAGTAACTTAGAGGAACATTATGTCATAAATTTCAGTCTGGACTAAAAGAAAAGGGAATAAAATCGTGAATAAAAGTTTTGCCTATAGCCAAAATATGCCTGGTTATTCAAAGAACAAATTTTAATATCTAAAAGCAACATTTGACAGCAAGAAAGCCCAGCCAAAAGACATAAACATACGTGGCATCCACACTTCATCTGGTGTCACATGAAACTTGCAGCTCCAGCTGACAGCCATGAAGGTAAAGAGGAGCACCTAAGAATGATGTAAGAACATCTTAGTTTCAGCAAACTGTGAGCCCAGCAGTGAGCAGAACTTCTTGGAAGAATAGTTGGTATTTTGGCTCAGCCCTACAATGCTGTAACAGCTGCCTAAAAAAAGGTTGCTGTGCACTTTCTCAGCTGTGGCACAAGGGACCCAAAGCCTTACAAGAGAGTTCTGGCTCTGCTGCAAAGATCACACTATGGAAATTCATTCGAGCAATCCTAGTGGCACCTACTTCAGTGAGAGCTGAGCTATAGCTCCAAAATTTCAATGAATTCCTCACAAAAATATTTTTTCTACAGTCCAGCCAGAGAGGCACCCAAAGCTCAGCGTTGATTTCATGGACAGAAATCTTTTTATGCACTTCTTACCCAACCAAGAATTAGTTCAAATCTGGAAGATGATGTGTCACAGGAAGAATGGACAGCAAAACAAGAATGAGCAACCATACATCAGAATCCAAATTGATCCTTGTCACCTGGGAAATACAGACTGTGTTAATAGGCCCAAGATAACAAGAAAAAGAACTCTTGAAAATCTGAAAAAAAAATAAACAAGCAACTAAAATAAAAAAAGATATTGGAAGAGTTTACAATGACTGTTTTACTGAAACACACAGAAATGCTCCATGCAGCACAGGCTCACAAGATGTAGGGTCTAAGGTAAAAGCATCACATTAGTGTAACAAACTGGCCTCTGGCTAACTGGAAAAGGGGAGAGGACAGAAAAATCATAACCAAATGGAAAAAAAAAAATACTTTGTTTAAATTGGGGTTGCATAAGGAATGGGATACACCAGCAGATTTCCACTGAAAATGTGAAAAATACACCAACTTTTTTTTTTTAAATACAAAAGTATATGAAAAAGTGACTTTCCTATCTCCTCTCTGCATCAAGTAGACCAAAGACACTATGTGTAGCCTAATATATAAATTGTTTCTTTCAAGGATGTCAATAACTTTTTTTTTTTAAAAAAAAAAGCAATGTAGTATGAAAAAGAACATATTTTGCCATTTAAATTACCCTCAGCCATGACAAATAATGTCTTACAATAAGAACAGATGAACAAGAGGGAGAACCAAAGACTAGTTCTGTTTCTTGAGATGGGAGATAAGGAACAGAGAATGAGAAGAACAAATGAAATGAGGATCAAGAAATGAGGGGATATGGCCACAAGAGCAACCACAAAAAGGCTCTAAGACCTAAAAAGAGACAGAAAAATCAGCCCCTTTCTAGCAAGGATTTCCCTTTCTCAATGTCAGGGTTTGAATACCTGTTCCATGTTTGCTCTGCACTGTTGCAGCACACTTTTGGGTTTAGGTTTTGCACTTGTGAAGGCACTTCACCTGTGTCAACTTGGAAACAGCACCCATGTTATGGAGAGATTTCCCTTTAGAATTCAGTTCAAGACTGAGCAAAATGCCAAGAAACTTTTGCTACAAACTCATTATTTTTTCTTTTCAGTTGGGAAAAGTGATAATGAGCTTTGAGACTCAACTAGCCCATGTTAAAGTACTATGAAAGACCACTCAATTATTTTCTTAATGCCTGGAAGATATTCCAGTGCTTTTTTAGATATTCTTTTTATGAACAACTCAGCTTTCTGACAGGAACTGGAAGAACTTCAGACTAGAAAGATCAGGGACATGGATATCTCATCATTTATTTCAATGCTGCATTTACTCTGCAATTAACTTCAAAATATAAATTAAAGACAACCTCTTCCAGCTCTCCCTGGTTTTGTATCTCAGTCAAAACACATTTCAGTATATCTTCAATATATGAAGAAAATGAAGGATAATCAAGATAGATATTTGAAAAGTAATCTTTCACTTGTGTTTGTATTGACAAATGCCAAAACTAAAGACTCAGATTGTCACTTTTGAAACAGAAGTCTGGTCATCTGACCCTGAAAGTTTAAATTTGCTGTCTGAAAACTTTCTATCCTAAACAAACTGACCTGTTTATGAAAAAAAACCCATTCACAAACAATTTTTAAAGTCATCTTTTCATTACAAAAGCAAACTGTTAAATTACATTTCCTTTTCATTCAGTCATCTTAACTCTGTTTAGAGACTTTTCAAATAACTAGTAAACCCTCCAGAACTCTTCCTGGTTATCTGAATTTAAATATGATCTTCAAAAGAATGCTACAAAACCAGAGAAATTATCATGAACATCTCTCAGATGTGTAACTGACAACAATATTTACAAGAATGGCCATCAGCAAAAAATAGAAAAGCTCAATGGAATAAAACCAGTGATTAGGTGCTCTTCAATGTGGAAGATTCACATGCAAAATGTCTTCTCTGTTTTGGTATAAAAATGATTTTACTTTGCACAAGAAAATAGATCTGTTAAAAAAAAAAGGAAAACCACCATGTTTTATATAGTACTCACAAGTGTTACCCACACAAGTCTTCCCAGCATTACCCAATACCCAAAGTCTGTAATAGCATATTCTTTGTTAACTTTATTTCAAAAACATCTCCATAAATGAGCACACAAAAATCAGTTTGCATTCTTTCATTAAAAAAAAGTAGACCATGAATTTTAAAACTCTATCTATATTCTCAACAAAAATGGAGTCTTATTTTAGCAGCAAAAACAGGCAGTGAAAGTATCAAAATTATTTCTATACTAAATTATTGACTTCTAAATAGATCTTCATTTACTACTTAGCAGTATCACAAATGAAGACATTTTAATGAAGAGATGTAGACTAGAAAAAAACACCTAATTAGGGGAGGGGGGAATGACACATGAATCTGAAGATACATACGACCACTCAGACTCCAACTGCTCTTTGTAGACTTTCAGGACATGAAGAGCCACAGGCAAGTTCCCAGGATCCAGCAGCTCAGGCACTTTCTCTGAATTAAGGCAGGTGAAGAGGACCATACAACAATAAGCAACAACTTTCTCATCTCTGTATGTTAGGCATGTCCTTCAAGAGAAAATAAGGAGTTAAGAGAGCAAGTTAAAACTGACCCTGGAAAAGCAAGAGCTGTGGGATTTGGCTTGTTGAGTTGTTCTCCTTTGCTGTCTTTTAGGAGAATCATGACTTTGTTATTGCCAAGGAGTGAGAGATGTCATCTGCAAAGAAAAACATCCCACTCCTAGCTGAAGGTCAGATTGCACAGGCCATTTACAAAACTAATGGGAAATTAGAGCTAACTGGAGATCTAGAAATTGGGTGAAACCTTAATAATCATCTGCTTCTATTATTATAAGGTTTTTCTACAGCCAGTGCTGACAAGTGGGCTCCAAAACCACACTTGGAATGATGATCAAGTTGAATGAATGTGTCTTTGTTACTAGCTCACTAAGAAAACACATCAACAACATTGTCATGAGTCTGCACAAAATCATATTTCATTATTACATCACATGTCATCAATTCATTACATTGTATGCCATCAATCCTCCAGGAAGATGTTCCGGTGAGGTTAGGAAGTGGACAAAAGGATTGGAAGACACAAAGATGAAGTCATTTTTGCAGATTCCATCTGATCCACAAATACTGACAGGTCTGCCCAGCAGCAAATAAAGAAACAAAACTTGGAAATGAATATAACTAGATGAAAATGGCAGTGAAATAAAGCTTGTGTTCAAAGCTCATCATGTGAGATAAGACTTTTCCTCAAGCTTCTGTTCAATGAAATGAATTTACTGTTAGTTTAGAACAAGTAGGTTTTTAAAGGTCTTGACCTCTGTGGTTAACTGATGAAAAACCCCAAACATCTACAGGATATGGTCTCAACAGTTTCATTCTCACCAAAGTTATTTCTCAAAGCTTTATGGTGCTAGTAGAGGTACAACTATAATGTACAAGAGATTTTAATATAACCACAGAAATTATATTAGGAAAAAAACCTGCAGCCATGCTTACAAGAAGAGATCTGGGAAAGCACACTTCCAGATGCTATTCTGGGAATCTCCATTTCCTGCTGCAATGTTTCCAAGAAACTGGAGACTACAACGAAGAGCTGAAACAAACCCAGAAAACACATTAACAGGAATTCAAAGAAACACTAATGAGTTTCATATAAATGACAAACTTCAACATGACAGGCACCCACTACAGAATCCATCTCAATTAAGCTTTGGCTGTGTTGTACATAAATATTTGCATTTTCTCTTTTAAGACACATAATTTTACAAAGTATTCCAGAATTATACTGCTTGTAAACGTTGCAGTAAGTAGTCAGAGAACTGAATCTGTCCCCTCACTACCCACATTAAATTCTATTTAGCCAGACAAATCACTGTGTAATAAAATGATGTGCTCAACACTTTCTGATTTCTAGCCCAGAAAAAATAAAGCCAGCACTCCAACAGCTCTCTACTATTCCTACAAAGGATTTATTCCAGCCTCCTCTCAATACAGACTTGAACTATGGGAAGATGATATTTCATCATACAAGTTAATATTCCAGAGCCTGCCAAAAGATGTAAATTCATGAAAAACAAAAGCATGAACCCACAGACCTCACAAAACAAACACACTTTTTTTGCCCTATTGACAGCTTTCAATAGGCTGGCCCCCTATTAATAGGTTGCCAAAGAAACTTAAAATTAAATATTAAAATGCAGTTTATCAGATATTACACACAGCAGCCTGTTAGAGATGGAGGTGGCTGATACTCCCAGGTTCTGCAAAGATAAAATCAGGTCTCTTTGAAAGGTGCTGTGCCAGCTGGCAGCCAGATTTCCTTCAGAGGTCTGGCCATATGTCCTCTTGGGAACAAAACCAAGGCTAATCTAAAATGAGGTCACTCAGGCTTAGCAAATAGTAACATTTTTTTCCCCCCATGTATAGTTTTTAAGCCCCAAATATCTCTGTCCTCTCCATAATGCATTTTGAAACATATTCCTCTTTATGCTTTTGTTCCTAAGATCTCTGTTTTCTCTCCCTGCATACCTGCACTTCTTTACTATTTTCTGTTCAACATAATGCTCAATTTCTCCCATCCATCTGGTTCCCATCCTGCTGACTCAGAGTTTTTCTGAAGGACAGCAAGCATGGGCATGCTACTTGTCTAGCAGACATTTTGTGGAAACACTTCTCTGCTAGGAAAAAAAAAAATAAGGCAATAAATGAGGTATTATTTCCCTTGGTGAACTCCTTAACTTGCTCTACTATGAGGAAGATCTCTCAAAGAGTCATGACGCTGGTTGATTATACTCCAGTCTTGCCATGAAACTTGCTTGACCTTTTTCAGCTATCAATTACACTTTGGTCACTAAAGATGAAGCTGTTAACAAATATTACAAACTACAGGAAACAAAAGGACCCTTTAAAGTTCCCATCCTTACTGTAAGAAAGATGAAAGGCTATGAACATGTTTGCAGTGCAATAATAAATATCGACAGATTCTCCATGAATCACACAAAGCAACCAAAACTCTCCTTGTTCACTTGTGATATCCTGAACAACCAAAATGGAGCCATTAAAAGGTCACAATTCTGTGGATATACCAGGGGAAAAAACCAGTTTAACCTGTAAGTGCTTGTTTTTAATGAGTAATGGTTAACATTTTGCTTTTAATTACAGGACACAAATCAATTCATGGGCAAGGAGATAACCTTGAGACAAAAAAGCTACTCTACCTCTTCACAATTAAGCAGAAAAAGAGGATGTCTTGATAATGGAACATTTCCTCCCACAAGTAATCTCATGTGATGAATCTCAGCAATTCATAAAACTCAGTCCCTGGAGATTGAAAGTCTGGAGGAAGGAAGACTCTCCCTTGAGAGAGGAACTTCATGAAGTTCAACAAGGGTAAGCACAGAGTCCCACACCTGGGAAGGAATAACCCCATGCATCAGTACAGCTCAGGGGCTGACCTGCAGGAAAGAAGCTCTGTGGAGGAGGACCTGGGAGTCCTGGTGGACAACAAGTTAACAGTGAGCCAGTAGTGTGCCCTTGTGGGTATCCTGGGGTAAGTGTGGCCAGCAGGTCAAGGGAGGTTCTCCTCCCATTTTCCTCTGCCCCAGTGAGTCTCCATCTGGAGTACTGTGTCCAGTTCTGGGCTCTCCAGCTCAAGAGGGACAAGGAGCTACTGGAGGGAGTCCAGTGGAGGGCTACAAAATGATTAGGGGGCTGGAACATCTCTCTGATGAGGAAAGGCTGAGAGACCTGGGTCTGCTTAGCCTGGAGAAGACTGAGAAGGGATCTACAAACACTTGAGGTAGTTGAGCTCTGCTAGGAGGACAGAATACACACAACAGGACCCAGCTCACAACCTCTGCTATCAGTTCATGTGCTCTGTCCCAACTACAATGCACATGTTGCACTGCCTCAACTACCTTCCCTAAAAAAAAAAAAGCAATTCATATCACAAAAAATATAACTGAGTGCTCAGTTTGATGCCAGGTGAATGATCTATGCCAGATCTGGTTCCTGCACTGAAGTGTGAACACTTTGCTTTTGGCTTCCATGATCACAGATCATGTACTTTCTGAAAAGGGAGGGGGAAAAAACAAATAAAGAAGACAATAAGATTCTTTCACTTCTTCCCTGAACACCTACAGATCTTGATGAAGCTAAAAATTACTCTTTCCATCTGCATTAGCTAGTATTTGGGAAATACTACCCAGAACAATTATGAACCAGTATGCATTTTCCATAGTACTGATTAATTTAACATCTTCAGTCCACCCCCTAGTGCTGGTGTCTGTAAGCACTGACTTGAACAAATAATTCTGTAGCTATCAGCAAAGCTCCATTTTATTTTAAAAAAATTTAGGCTGTGTGTGGTCAAGAATACTATTTTTAACCTGATGGTCAACCACTGTGAAATTGCATGTGCTAAGAGGTAACTTCTGATACACAGGTCAAGCCCAGAGCTGAAGAAATTTCTCCCCCATCAGGACTTGGATGGTTTCTATAACAGCAGGATGTCCTTCAGCAAATGCAAATATTCACATTACATGTTGCTTTCACAACCTGCCTGCAACTGGGAAATTTTCTAAGTTCTACAAAAATAACCTCTTTAAACAACAGGACAAAGTGTGTAAGAGGAAACACTGGCCCTTTTCCTGATCAATTCTGGTACCTAAATGTTTGTCTACACGTAAACTGATCTTTCAGGGTTGGCCAATGCCACCCATGCAGAAGGTGAGGCAGCTGATACTTCATGCCCTGGATCAGGATGGCTTAAACGTGCTCCAGCAGCTCAGTACCTTCAAGATCCCAACTCCACTGGTTCCTTGCAGTCCCTTCTGATCACACACTAACTGCCCCAAGCTCCAGCAGACTCTTTGCATTTCACAATCACACTGCAGTACTGTCCACATGGTCTGAAGGACAGACCCAGTTCCCAGGCCTGACCCTGTGCCCTGCTCCTCCCAAAGACATCATTTCACACAGTGTCATCTGTAGAATCAAACTGAGTACTAGAGAAAATCTTGGAAGGGTTTCAGTTTTCAAGCATGATGATTTTCAAAAGCAATACATTGTTTCCTTCTGCTCTGCATGGTTAGGTGATAGTATTTCAAAATAATCTACTAAAATTCCAGTATTAAAGTGAGGAGAGTTTATTACTGGTAACTGCAAGGTCTCTATCAACAAGATTAACTTCAATTTCAACCCCCCAGCATCTTTCCTGATTAGATTGCTACACACAACCATTATGTTATTATGCAACAGATTTTGCTGTAGTGTATATTATTTCAGTGTTTGTATTAATACATGAATTTCAATCTTCCCTGCAGAAGACAAGTTCTTCTCATCATGAGTAATCAGACTTATCTTTCAAATTACTGCTAGAATTTCTCTGGTCAAGAACAGGAGCCTGTGATCTTGCTCACCCATCACTCTGAAAAGTCTTACAACCATCATAGGAAGAGATTTCCATTCTTTTCATTTGGGGCAGACAGCATAGAGAGAACTACAGGTACTCTGCCTTTACAGGAATTACAGAGAGATATCAAGTAAATCAAATCAAAGCATGTACAAAGCTGGACAACATCACTTGCCAGCCTGCAAACATGAGGCTAGCACACTTGCATCTCTCTCTTTAATGCTTTGCTGCCCAGGAACTATGCATGAAAGATACAGCTGGTGTGTGCACAAAGGTTTGCAAGCCCCAAGACCAAATCCCAGCCTCCCACCAGCCTGCAGACCTTTTCAGTTGCCCATGAGCTTTGCAAAGCCAAACTGTAGACTGTGAGCCATTACACAGACCACCTTTGGTTGTTTGTAAACAATGGCAGAATGTTTTGTGATCTCTTGCCAGCTCTGGGAAAATAAAACCTTAACTCAGCATAAGGTGTAGACCTTTATTACTCTAAAATGTTAGTTTCCACCACTATCATCCAGTCATTGACTTGCTTCCTTGTGGCTGCAAGTTAAAGCAACTTCCAGTCATAAAAAGAGTTATTTGCCTCTTCACCACCATGAATCATACCACAAATACTGATGAAAACGTATTTTCCTTGGAAAACAGTCTGTCTAGACTACTCAGACTGAATGTACAACACATATATGGGCTCTGTCATTTCAAGTTATTAAAATAGTGCTTAGTGTTTTATTTCTGTAAATAAAATGAACGTCTGGCTACTGATTATATTTCTGCCTTGATAATACTGCACTTGCTGCACTCACAGACTAGTAACCCACTTTTACCATCTGTGGAATACCAAGAATGTTGTGTTTAATAACTTTCTGTTCCCACTCCTCACATCCTCCACCTCCAAAAGAAAGGAACATGGCTCATTTTTTTTTTTCCTTTTCCTTCAAAAATGCCAACTCTAACATTAAAAGAACATTATGTGCACTGACTGGACAACCATTCTGTTCTTGGAAGATAAATGTCTAGGCAAAATATCAACATTTTGTTCTTACTAAAAAGAAGAATTTGACTCAAAGAGTTCCCATCATGCTGTTAAAAATGTGGCATTACAAGTGAATCAGGAGGGAGCTGGAAGAAACCATCAGATCATTCATCAAATGAGCCTCTGATGCAAATCAAATTCATAATGG